TTCAGATTCTGTGTCTCCCTCTCTCTCTTTCTGCCCCTCCCCCGTTCACGCTCTCTCTCTCTCCCTCTCTCTCTCAAAAATGAATAAACATTAAAAATTTTTTTAAATAATTAAAACGACTGTGGTTACTATTTATTGACTTCTTTTATGACCTAGGCTCAGTGGGAAGCACTTTACATTTTCTCATTGAATCCCATAGCAATCTTATCCCCAGTTCTGAGGAAAATAGTTAAAAAGATTTAGTAAACTAACCAAGGTCTCAACAGTTGGAGAAGAGCCTGAATTCAGGCACAGGTCTATCCAACTCTATTTTCAGACATTTTACCATCACACTATCCTGTCTCACCACACACTTTCACATATCTGTTAAATGAGGTATATTTTCCTTTAACCCCATCCTCCCTCACAGAAACGCTCTCCCATCATTTTATTTGTTAGCTCACTTCCACAACAATGTATATTATGTAAGTGATACTAAAATTGTTATAGATGAAGTGACTTTTATTTTTTAAATATACCAGAGAACCTTGGTTGAGGCTATTCTAAGTCTCACACTATGTTAAGGGCCTTATATGAATTACTTGAGTCTATTCTAAGTCTCACACTATGTTAAGGGCCTTATATGCATTACTTCATTTCATCATCAAAGCAAGTTTGTGAGATATATACTATTGTTCCCCACTTTATTAATAAGAAAGTGGAATTTAAGTTAACTAGTTTTACCAAGTCTAGTAAATGAGAGAATGAAGACAGAGACCAAAGGCCATCCCATTGACAGAACAATTCAAATAGAATTATGGGGCACAGTCACCATTTGGCCTAAACTGGCTATAAATGTAACCTAGAGAGCCCATTTTCATATTATGACAGGCAAATCAAGTCACATCACAGAATTATGCTAAACCTAACACACATTAGATGTAGGTACATTTGATCTAAACCCATTTGTAATAATAATGAGGGCTAAAATTTTACGAATGCTTCCTGTGGTGTCAGGCATCGTTTTAAGGAATAATTTACTTGTATTAATTCATTTAATCCTCACAACAATCCAGTGAGGTAGATGATATTATTATGACCATTTTTCAGGAAGAAAAACTGAGATTCAGAGAAGTTAGGTAACCTGACTTAAGTCACACAATAAAAAGTTCAGACAAAATTAGGAAAACCTAGGTACCATTTTGTTTTTTTCTGAAATGCCATGAAAGTGGTGAAGGAATTTTGCTGTTTGCTTTACAAACTCAAACCATTTCTATGATTTATTATGGGGATGGGTGACATTTGTTTTTGCTTTTTTAGAGGAGGCATGTGTTAGGCTTCTGGTTGACGCCTTAAAGCAGTAAAATTAGAAATTATATTTTAGTGACCTAGATCTAAAATTAAGTTTCTTTTGTATTTTGACTTATAAAACTTTACATCACTTGAAAGCCATTTAGGTTTTTTTTAAAGAATGTTGGGTTTGAATATTAGGCAATTTGGGGGCGCCTGGGTGACTCAAACATTCGACTCGTGGTTTTGGCTCAGGTCATCACCTTATGATTTGTGAGTTTGAGCCCTGCATCTGGCTCATGCTGACACATTGGAGCCTGTTTGGGATTCTCTCTCTCTCCCTCTCTCTCTGTCCCTCCCCTGCTTGCGCTCTCTCTCAAAATAAGTAAACTTAAAAAAAAGAATAGTATGCAATTTTGATTTTAAAAAAACATACCAAAAATACATATCTTTGCTCAGTTACTTATTAACACAAATTGTCCAATCTTAGAAATATAGAATGAGACTGCTTCCATCAGCCATGCAAACATCTTCACACTGTAGCTGTAATACCATCAGGGAAAAAATAGTTTTGTTTGTTTGTTTGTTTGTTTAATATTTCAACAATATTTCAAAACCTTCAGTAATCAGTTCTTGCCAGAAGGTGGCACTGTTGTGCAGTTTAGGAACCCAAAATCTGGTAAATATTGTGTTTGTTTATATTTAATAAAAGTATACATATTCTTTGAATTTGAGGGTTTTTTTCATTTCCAGATATTATAAGAAAATTTCTAAAAATGTTATTAGTCTTAACATACTATTTTATTACAAACCTGGTCTAGGTAGTGAATTGTATAAGCCAAGACCTGCCAAATTCTAAGAGTTCAAACTGTGCATGCATTATCTGCTCTACCAAAATGTTTTTAATTTAATATAATGTATATACCCATGACAAATAGATCTAAAAATATGGATATGTTTATGCATTAAAATGACTCCCAACTCATAAAATCGCCTTTTCTGAAGATGCTAAGTAAAATCCTGTATTCTAAATTCTGATCCCAGCATTGTTTCATCTGAATGAATACTCATAATTGAGAAAGGTATTTGTATGACTTTAATCTATAACAAATGGAATTTAAATTTGTTGGAATCTCCGTATATTTCAGAGCTAACATTTTTTCCTGTCTCTTTTGATTTCACGGGCCTTTTGTTTCTACTCTGGTAGAATGCAAACAAAAAGAAATAAAAAGAAAAGGCAAAAGATTGGGTAGATTGGGGGGTTGGGGTAGGTGGGAGGGTTGGAGTTTAAGGCAGGAGCAATACTAGAACAGAACTAACATATGGGGTATTTTCTGAAATAAAAACTTCAAGTACTTTTGAGGCATATATCAATAAGGATGACAATATTTTTATAATATTTGCTGTATTTTATTTTATTAAAGATACATGCTTATTGTAAAACACTTGGAAAATATCTAACACAAAAAAATTACCTCACCACTTTACTCTGATTGGACATGAGCACACTCAAGAATTTGAAGTTTCTTTCCAAATATCAGCAGCAAATTTCCAATTAAGGGAAAATCATCACTTTGCTTTTCCTGCCTCTGCTTAGCTGAGGATACAGATCTGGAATACATGGCTATTTTGTTTATTTTTCTTAAGTTCTTATTTGAATTCCAGTTCATTAACATACAATGTAATATTGGTTTCAGGTGTACAATATAGTGATTTAGCACTTCATACAGCACCCAGTGCTCATCCCAACAAGTGGACTCCTTCATCCCCATCAACTCTTTCACCCATACTCCCCACTCAGCTCCCTTTTAGTACCTATCAGTTTGTTCTCAGTAGTTAAGAGTCTGTTTCTTGG